AAAAAAAAGAAGAAGCAGAAATTACCTGCATGGAGAGACTCCAACTGTGGAAGTTTGCAGTGATGTTTTCACTAGCCAAAGACCGCAGCAAATCTTTGGGAAAATTCCGGAATAATCGGCTAGATGGGGCCACTAGCAGATGGATACAGATTTGTGTCACAGAGAATGACAAGGAGTATATTTTCATGGAATAAATATATAAAAATATGCTAATTTGAATGACTCTGAAAGAATGTAAGCAAACTTGTATCTAACCTGACAAAATAACCAAATGGAATAACAGAAAGTAACAGAAAAACCTGATGTGAGTGTCAGAGGTAGAGCCACAGCCTTGGTATCAGTAAGCGTGAGGAGGTTTTTGTTGGCAGTCAGGACAGTGAGCTGCTGGAAGCCCTGGCAGGTTCCCCAAATAGGGAAGTAGTCTCCAGCATCATTGCCCTGCAGGACCAAGGAGTGAATAAAGACAAGGTACCAATACATGAAGGCAATGGCCATTATTTTTAAGCCTAAATCTTTAGATAGCTCTAAAGATTTAGATATATAAAAAAATCTCAGGGTCGTCAGTCCTGATAGACAGTTAAACAAATCAAAACCCATACCTTCAGAGCCAAGTTGTAAAAGATCTTGGCAGCTCGACTGAACTGTGACGTCTGAAGATCTACATCTCCACCTGGCAACAACAACCTGAGGAGCCACAGTTTAGACAAATAAGCTAGGAGGTGCTTCAATGGAATTGTGTCTACCTTTTCAAATTTGTGTAAAAGCAATAAGTACAATGCTTTCAAGTGTAACTCTTAATATCTCATGTGTTAAAATTACAACCAGTAAGCATATAGAAATGTTAAAGCCAGACATTATAGATACTAGAACAAAGGTCTGAATAACTTCTAACAAAACTGGATGGATGCAACTGATGTGCAGCAGTGAGAAAAAAATTTTAACACTTAAATGGTGTGCAGTTAAATCATGCCTTTTGAACATACAGCTCAGCTTCATATTTCTATCTATTTCATTAGAATATACTTTTCATTCACCAAATCACATGCCAATAGAAAACGAGTCATTATCATGAAAACTAACTTGAGGTTCAGTGACTGTCAGGTTTGCCAACAACCTGTTCTCTATCATGCTTAGACTCTCTAACCTACATATGATGTGTGTAACAAGGGAAAGATCCCCACAGCGCAGCTGATGTGTGTGTACTTGTTAAGGCACAGCACATGTGGTGGTCTAATAACATGAATTGACACTGTAGCGATTAAAGCACTATGTGCCTGTAGCGTCTTTGGTTAACCTTGAGTGGAATATCTTTCTAAGCGGCCTGGAGTCAGAAAGATATTCTCTCCACTCAGAGAACCTTGGTTACAAGGTAATCAACCAATCTACAACCTAAGCCATGACCACCCTCTGAAGCTTATGAGCCA